CTGATCAAACTCGAGCCAACCAGCCCAAAAACGATATAAAAAAACCCTCTGCGCTTGCATCTCCCTCTCTTTCATTTATGTTTGTCAAACTCTCTACTTTTCCTCTCTACCCTCAACACTAAAGCACAAATTTTCATCCCATAAAAAATTCCCTGTCGCAAAATATCACAATTTCCTCATTCCATGACCTCCCTCCTTTTCTTTCTGCCCTCCTTACGAACTGCGATTGGAGCGCAGAACCTGACACCAACCCACCTCTAAACTTCCAGAGAATGCGAGTTACAAGGTGGCTATTTAGCGACAGATGGCAGCTTTCAACGTCAGCTGGAGCTGCTCAATGCCTACCCAAGGTAGCACGGAATAAAGACCACAGACCAGATCACCGGCAGCATTGAGCGAGAAGGAAATCACAGGACTAGAGGACACGCCAGGCGGTCCATAACACAACCCATGATATCACCCAACACCGCCCCGCCTCCTTGCCATGGAGGCTAGAAGGGTTAAATAGATGTCCTCGATTATGACCAACACAACCAACAACCAAAACAAATACAAACCTCAGCATTTTAATGATACCAGCCACAGCTCCTTGAAAATGTAGTAAAAGCGTCAAAATGGTAAATAAATAATGGAAATAACAAAGAATTCAATCTGCTTGAGAAGAAGAAGGATAAAAAGTTACACAATGGATATACTCGATGGATGTACGCCTATAGCACACCCAGTTAGCAATTTTGTCAACTAGTAGATTATCAGATATGATCAAAACGTTTTATCTTGAAATCATAGTTTAGTATTGATTTTCACAACACCCAAGGATCCATCACATCAGACACTTTAGCTGTTCTGGAGAGGCTTTCAGAGAGATCAATACGCAAGCAATCTTTAATATATGAAACATAAACACCCAAAAATTAACATGACATTGTTAACAAATATAAGGGATTAGTTTATATTCATTGAAACCAGGCATCGGACTGACACCACACAAATCGCCAACACCACAGGATTCTACAGAGCAATCACGTCACTATCATACTTATGAGAGGGGGACTTATACACTCATACAAACTGAGCACCCCCACACTAGGGGGCACACCGAGCGTGACTTATCTTATGGCGGATGATATATCCAGAGCTCAAAACAAGGCTCCTTAGCATCATATAATGTCATATTTTATACCTCAGTAATAATATAAGAGTCACCAAACGTTATTACATGTACCTTCAATCAATGAAAGGAGACGTATAGCCGTACTGATACTCATGGCACGATGATGGCATCACCACCTAGCTTATATATACCTCGAGAACATTCTCAACCAACCGGGGTAGGCAGAAGAGGGGACCAGGGGGTAATTATCGTAATCAAAGCACGAAGCACCACCCATGAAAACCACAAGGGACTAATACATTTATTGAATTACTGAGCACACACGGAATCGAACATCTGTCGAGACACTTTTATACACTTACTGAGATGGGGCCTGTAGTAGCATGATATTTTGGAGCTTGAAATCAACAAAAAGACACAGATCTTGCAGTTGCTGTGGGGCTCTACGCGATGTAGAGTGTTTCAAATTCTCATTTTTTAACAGTATATCGTGAACTGAACGACCCTTCTGAGTAAGACATTCCGATGATATGGATGGTTTATCTTTGTCCAGCGATATGTATTCCACGGTCACAGAAATATAGCTGCGTTATCTCCACATTTTTACAGAGTGTAAACATCTCAGGATTAGAGGAAAAGTTCATGTATCTAGAACTAAAGATTGGAGTAGCGATTAAAAGATGAAACTCCAGAACATCAGCCACTGAGAGGACCTTTAGAGTGTGACATATCATCAAACAATGAAGCAGTTAAAAAACACGAGATATCATATTTGAAATCCACAAAACTAACGATGACTATAAGCCTAAAATGCATGCAGATAACTCCCATATATATTGTTACCTTTCACCTCTCTCCAAGCTTACTAACTTGAATTCCTTATAATTTACCTCCAAGAAAAAAGCTTTAACTAACAGTTAATTATAAAGGAGTAAGCTTTGGCTTTCATAAAACCCAGGAATTGGCCCAGAGGACACGAACCATCTTCCCTGCTCACAGACCAGGAGGCGGCAGGCGGCGGAATGGAACACCCTCCTGATTTCCAGCTCCAAATTGACCTTCATCGGCTTCATAGCTGCGGTTATTCGCTGTGGTATATTCATTGATACCTCAATGTGCTTCGGTAGTTAGACTATATTCAGCACAGTACACCAAGCGCTCCTGCTGATATGAAGCCTGGCAATCGACGCAAGACAACCCTACCATTAGGAGTCAAACTAACCGGCTTCCTTAGCGGTCTCGCTACCCAATCAGCAGCTAAAGAGAGGCCCAGTAAAAATGCAGGAGCATTATTATAGAAATGGATTTGGCCAGGATTGTAGTGGATGAAAATTGTGCTTTAATAAAATCAGGTAGATAGAAGGAAAAGTTTAGAGAGTTTGACCAAAACCATAAATGAAAGAGAGAGAGAAAATGACAAGATCGCAAGCAGGAGATAATTATAATATTTTATATCTAATGTATATTAGCTGTTTGGCCTCGAGTTTGGATCCAGTCCTGGCCCGTGCATAACTGGTTGTATTGTGTATTACAAAAAAGTAAAAGGCAAGATTTCAACAACGCGCTAGCACATCACACCGAAGAGTACATCATGAATTACATCCAGCTGACCGAAACCTAAATATACATCAGAACATAGACCAATACTGTAAGAAGCGGGGGGTTTGTGAGAACAGAATATAATGAGTTACTGACGCACATGCAATTGTGTGCGTGCTATACTTAATCAAAAAGTGTTAAGCAAACCCCAGCTGGCCCTGATACTACTTTCTCTTGACCTGAGATAGTGTGTGGATGAGTAGCGTTATTATCACGCTGGATGAAGAACGCTTACACTCAACAGACACGTTTAACTAGCAGCAGGAGTAACGATGTGCGGAACAAACAAAAGGGCACGCCACGGGATTTGGGAACTTTACTGCGCATATAACCAAACTGCCCGCCTGGCCAATCGATCATGGCTCATTAAAGTAAGACCACGCGTTATTCTCATTTGAATCGGAAAGGGATGTCTCGTCAGCACTACCGAACATCTCTTACTCCTACCCTATGATTTCATCATTTATTATTAACAGCCTGAGGGAATTTGTGATGAGTGATGTTAATGAGAGCTGATATACTCAAACCCCTTTCCATTACACAGCTGCTACAAAGAGAGTTGGGAATGCTGCACAAGTTTATATAACACACCCAATTCTCTCTGCTGTATATCCATAAACGTGAACAAGCACAGAAAGGCGCGCGGGAACTCTCTGCTCACTGCCATATTCTCCAAAGGGGCTATTGCATTGTTCATCTTCGCGTTGTTATTAAGACCAGCAGACGAAGGATAGTATATCAGACCAAATAATATGTCTGATGATGAAGTTGCTGATGCTGTTAACACGTCTACACTTTTACGGAAACATGCCTATCGCACACTGGGAGCGCAATCATATGATTTCTTTAAGTGCGCTAGAAAAAGCAAGGCGCGGTCGCTATGATGGGTCTTCTTACAGCGGCCAGTAAGTGGCAGGCATCAGCTCGCTATTAATAAAATGAGTGGATCGCAGAGAGTTAAGAGTCTAATTAGTCGGATTGAAGAGACCTGGTAACAAAAGTGATTTAACTACTTCAAAAATCAGAAAACAATGTAACCACTTATAATAACTGAGATAACAGTGCTTTGGACTGTTAAAGGCAGCCCCCAAATCCAAGACCATTCGTTATTCAGTATACACACTATAACACCTAGTTACACAGGCTATAAGAACAATTAACGTGAATTTACAACCAATATATCCAGACTAACCATTATTCCAGCCAAAAAAAAGGTATTTTTATTAGCTTATACGAAATTTGTATCTTTCTCTGAATATGCCTAACTCTTCGATTTTTCCCTCTCGCTGCACAAGCCAAGAAAAGAAAAGAAACCAGTCCCATTCTCAGCTGAGAAGAGATAAAATGTGCACGCGATGCTTATCCGGAAGGTTACCATACATCACATATTACATGAAAATTATAAGTTAGCATATGCGGACCTAGAGAGAATATGACTTACAACCTATTTGTGCTTTTAGTAGCACAATCTCAGTAAAAATCCTGAGTTTCCAGTGATCAAAAAGAGAATGAACTAATCGCCTTTCATACAAGAGCGACCAGGTAGAATAAAATCTTAAAACAGTCCAATTAGGATAGTAGGAACAAGACAAAAAAACTGAGGACACAGAATAAACCGAACTTAAGCTATTTTCTTATCCATTACCGATACTGCGTACTATCAGTTTGTTTGTATCATTCAAGAGAGCGACTAAAATAATAAAAACATTTTTGAAAATGAAAAGAACTGGGGTGTGATGCTAATGTGAACTGTACTGACCAATGCTAGTCTGTAGTTGCAATCTTGTGGGTAATGAAGGCACCGGTAATTAAATTGACAAGGAAGTTAATGTGCAGGTACAAAACAAAAAAGAATCTATAATCGTGAGTTTTATGAGCTGTTTGTATCATAACACCAACCTTTATAAAAACACCAAAAAAACTGTCCCATCTTGAAGATCCTGACAGAGAAGCGGTTAGCGGAGAAAGCAAGAACTACATTGGAGAGTGAATGCATACTGGAGTATTATTTAGTTTTGTGGCTGAAATAAACATCTCCTAATTGCTTGAAGGTATGGTCCTGAACGCAATACATTTTCTTTCCTTTCCTCCACATAAATTCATGGTTAAAGGATATTTTACAGAAAGAGAGGGAAAACTTGTATACAGCAGGGGACAAAACCAAGGATGGTGGCCATCACCTTGGTTAGATAAAATACTGGGAGGAGCGAATGTGGGTTTAATCGAGACCGATTAAACACTGAGGGGAGAACAGGAGACCGATATTGTTGGACGGGCTAGAAGCCTCTCAGGTCGGCGGCAGGTGGACCGGGCAAGGACCGGCCCCCCAGGCCAGGCACAGCCAGTGGTGGTGGTTGCTATCTGACCGAAGTGTGAAGTGAAGCTGCGACATCTCCTTCCTCGCCTCATTCCTTGCCTTACTCACAGCCTGTGTGGACAGCATATCATTGATGGAGTGGTCATACTGCTCGGCCAGGATGGCCAGCTTACGAGTCTGCTCATCCTTCAGCCGCTTCAGCACGGCCTTGTGGTCCGACTTGGGCGTGTTCTCCAGCAGGTGGTTGCGCAGCGCCTTGTACTGACGGGTCTGGATCTTGCAGGTGTCCTGGAACTGACGCTTAATCTGAAGCTCTTTGGACTGGAGGACAGAGAGAAGAGATGGAGGCAGCTGGGCTATAGTGCTCCATTGGTTTTTATAAATGAACATGTTAAAAACAGATGTTTTCTGTTACAGAAAATCTGAGAAAAACAAGTGATTTTTTACACATCATGCATTAAAAAATCAAAATGCTGACATGACTGATGGTAAAAGATGTACACCATTAGTAACGACAACTTAAAAGTATAAATACCTGTCAAATGTTGAATCTTTGCAGTGACACCATCACATTGAAAAAGGTTTGTACATTCACACGCACTAATTTTTACCTTTATTTTGTTCACACGAGTTGGAATTTTGGAGTTGTTTTTAACAGAGGTGAAAAATAAAATGCATTAAAATGTAAATGTTTCTTTTGTTTTTACACCTGTGCTGTTTAATTATTATTAGTTTTAAGTTGTGGAATTTTGTAAATCATGTACCAGCACAATATGCACAGTATTTTTGACTGAAGTCTATAAAATCTATTTTATCTCCAATCTTCTGCTAAAGAGAGTTTGATATATTCATACAGTGCAGTTCGTACTGTGACTCATACAATGAATCCAAAGTGTTTACCAACATTTATGTGTATATTTTATCATTTGTCAGTGTCAGTACATTATCCCTATATCTGTTTCAGGACACTCAACAGGCCTTTTTTGGTCCATGCCTTCAATACAATCCGTAATCATGTCAGAGCAAGTGTTGAGCATATAACATACAGGCACAGTTTTAAAAGGACCATCAAAAGTTTTCAATGTATGTTCATATATTAAAAAGGTTTTATGCAGAGAGATTGGAAATTGTACCATTAACAGCAGTGCCATTAATCTATATTGACATATAATGTGAAAACTATTACATTTACATTACTATCAAACCGTTTTTGCAAGTTATAATTAAGAATGAAATATGTGTAATGACAGGATTTAACATTTTGACTGTGAAAGCTTGAATCAAACAAAAGACCTCAAACCAGACAAATATAATCTAGGGATTATTTAAAATGACTATTGTTTACTTTCATGCACTCAAACTTAATCTTTGGCATAGAGGATGCAGGTTCAAATAACACAACCTGCTAGTGAGGCCTAGAAATGATTATATGCCCATCAGTTAACATCTTATAGAAATTAGAAATAACACATTAATTCACAGAAACTGTTGGCGGGTTTTGGTGGATTTTAAACCAAGCGAAGGGTACCACAGATGACAAGAGGGATAAAACGGGTAATAATACAGAAGGAATGATGATGAACAAAATGGTAACGGGATCTTTCTACAATAACACTGGCTGATAAATAAAGGGGAAGGCAAACAAATGAGGACTGAATGAAGTAATAATGGAAACGAAAATCATAAAAACAAACAAGACAATGATTTTCACACAAAAGAATTTATTTTTTTGTGTAAAAGAAAAAACTGGAAGTATGACAAAATATTTTTCTATGCTTGCGAGCACGCAGCCATACAGTACGCCAACACTCATGCAGCTAAAATGAGAATAAAAAGGACAACAAAATGGCTGCCAAAAATAATGCAGTACTAGTCCTATTAAATACTGCATAAATAAAATCTAAAAAACTCAAGGTGATATAAACTCTCAAGACTCAAGGTGTCACAACAAAACAGAATACAAACATGTAAACATACACAGAGGAACAGGAAATAACTGATACTGGAACACAAATGTAAATCAATGGCAAATAATAATAAGTTACATTCAAATAAAACAATGTTTGTTGTGAAATGTCTTCCCAAATGCAGGTCACCCTAAAGAAGTGCCCTATTATTTTGTTCCCCCTGGGTCAAATACAGTTAAGATGGCCTGCTCAGTAATATTCCTCCATGTAAATGGCTCAAATGTTGTCCTTCGGTGACATACAGGGCACGTTTCCCAACGTAATTAGCATTTATAAACGCTAATGCACTTCACTCATCTTAACAAGAGTTCCCTTGAAAATATGCACATTTTAAAATCCTTGTTCTCTCAGATTTATGCATGAACGGCACATTTTCACCTGAATTTGGTTCATTTGACTTCATTTAATTAAATGTTTATATTTTGGTTAAAAACTGTTTTTGGTCCGATCGGAGTACAGCTCAAACGATTACTCGATTAGTTGATCGACAGAAAAATTATGGGCATCTGTTTTGATAATCGATTAATCGTTTCAGTCATTTTTTTTAAAGCAAAAATAGTGAAAAAAGTCTCTAGTTCCAGCTTCTTGCCTCAGCTGATTTGCTGCTTTAATCTGTCAGTGTAAACTGAATATCTTTGGGTTTTGGTCAAACAAAACAAGGTACATTTTACACCATGTTTTGACGTTAATGAGCTAAACTAATTGAAACAATAATCAGCAGATGAATGATTAACGATAATAATCGTTAGCTGCAGCCCTAAACTGAAGTGATGTGTTCTCCCACATTTAGCCTTTTTTAAATGCTCTTTGGGAAAGTGCAAAATTAAACAGATGTATGTTGTTATATTGTCTTCATATGATAGTGAAGTGCTCTATCTTAACTTTCACATTCAGTAGTTGCATCAATCTTTGGACTAATTTTATGATTGCTTGTCTCAAAAGATTGTCTATTATGGCTTCATATAAATTAAGCTACATTGAAATATTAAATAGGTTTTTTATTATATTATACTTTTACTACTCCTAACCATATCCTGCTTTCTAATTTTTCCACTCTAAATTTAGGATATGTCACTTCACAACAGACTTAACATTTTGTGCAAACAGTTGTAACTAGGCACTCAACTGGTGTAGATTTATATGATTATTAAGGGGGGAAATATCTAAATGTTTACATGGTAAATCATAACAAGAATATTGCGTAAAGCACAATAAAAACAGTTTATCTAACTAGAATCTGAAAGATAATGACTTCACCAGCTGGAAATAATATCCAATGTCTTCACATGAAACAATGAACTTAGGCTTTATGTTACAGCTAAATGGCCCCAGACTTTCTTAATTCAAGTCTTATAAAGTAAGACCTGCTAACTATTTTCCACTTTGACTTCTAAACATAGAAACTATGTTTGAACATGATATCAAATGTCCTACAGTGGTCCCAGATATTTCTGCTGAGCTGTTTATTGCACTTTTATACTGACTGAGAAATAGTGTTCAGGCTGATGTTAGTGAAATTATTAGTTATTTTCTTATCTTTCACAGTATTCAGCTTTGGGGAGTGAAATTATAGCCATGAAGCTATGCAACACTGTAATATTTGTTCTAAGCACTGAGATAACGGTGCTCTCTATGAAATAAGACCACGGTTAAGAGAAAAAAAATAAAAGATTGCACAAAAACGGTCTTAAAAATAACCATAAAAATATTTGTCTTACAAATTAAGAGCAAAATAATAAAATTCAAGAAACTTAAAAGGAACTTTTACAAAAAGCACAATAATGAACTGTTTAAACTTCACTGGGTTTGGTACAGTAACCGTGGGTTTGGCTGCGTGTTTACATCTGCAGGGCCCACTGATTGGACAGTACGGCTTGTGTGCACACGTTTGCATGTTTGGCTTCAACAGCCAAAATAACTTTCAGCCAGTAAACAACACAGATGTATGTGTGGAGGATAGAATGTGTCTCATCTTGAAGAAACATGACCAAAAACCAGTTTGGGAATTATGTAACAAAGAGAGACGTGTGGGCCCAAATAAAAAAGACGCACAGACAATGGCTGAACAATGGAACATGATCACACTCACACACATACACCACCAGCACGCGTGTGCGACTGTTTCCTCCAATTTGTCTCACACCCTTGCTATCTCCATGGCCGTATTTTCCCTCTGACAAACCTGCCGGATGAAGTTCGTCTCAACCCACACTCCCACCTCCCATCCTCTCGAAACATCTTTTCCCTCTCTACTCTCCTCTGTCTCTCCCTCTCTCTCCGCCTCCTCTCCCTCTGCCTCCTCTCTCTGACCTCCCTGGGCAGCAGTAGGGGCAGCCTGCTCGGGATCTGTTTCTTCAGGAGGCCCAGAGTTTGCAGTCTGATACTGACAGTGAGCGGCAGCTTTTTAAGGAGCTGTCTGGCTAGTTTTAGCACTATGGAGTTAGCAAGGTCGGCCAGGACCCCGAGGGGGCGCCTACTGAAACGCCTGACCCAGAGAAGGCCCTTGGCCAAAGGAGAGGCGCTACTGCAGCGAGCCTGATACTCTAAAGGCAAGCTCTTCAGGGGGACTGGGATCTTGGACTGGCGCACACCCCAGTTGCGCCCCGCTTTGGGAAACATCTCATAAAGGTTACGCTCAGCCATACCGCCGAGAACCGACTGGCACATGGCAAACAGGGGTCGAGGCAGGCGGAAAAGGACACGCATGCAGAGGCGGTTGACTTTGCGGGGCGCGTACTGGAGGAAGTCGCGGGCTGGCCTGACAACCAGCACCACCACCAAGTAGAGAGAGAGGAAGAGGGAGGGAGAGCTGAGGAAGGAGGCGGAGATCAAAATCATGGGGATGTAATAAATCCCCAGACTGAAGGAGAGCCCTAAACTAAAGAGACCGCTGGCCCAGAGGCTGAGCGACAGGTAGGTGGAGAGAGACAGAGAACAGCAGGAGCGAAGGAAGAGGTACGAGAAGAAGAGCGCCAAGAAGGCGAGCTCCGCGGAGAGGAGGACAGAGGCCACAGAGGGCAGAGGAGGTGAGCGACGGAGGGAGAGGAGGAAGATGGAGAGGAGCATCAAAGTGAGGTTGGAGGGCTGGGCAGCAGCAGAGAGGGAGAGGAGGAGGCAGATGGCATGAGAGAAGAGTGAAGGGAAAGAAGTCTTAGCGGGGGGAGGGGGAGGAGGGGGTGAGGTGGGTATGGGTTCCAGCTCCTCCGTGGCATCGGGGAAGTAAAACTCGGACAGCTCATCGATATCTCGCTCGCGGAGCCGCCTCTTTTCTGGGGACGCGGATGAGATGAACTCGGACGGACAACCGTCGGCCACGCCCCTGCCTTCTTCCTCGTCATCCGTGTCTACGTGTGCGCTTTCACTGCGGCCCTCCTCGTACTCCCACTGCACTCCTTCTACTTCCCTCACCTCTGTCCCTTCTTCATCGATTTTCCACTCCTCTTTCTCATCCTCGTCTTCTCTGTCATCAATTCCCTTTGGTTTATCGAGATCATCTACCTCATCTGTCCTTTCAACCGCAGGGGCACGCTCACCCTCCGCCTCCTCATCTCTGAAGTCTGATACTACTCCATCAAGCTCATCCTGACCATCATACATCTCCTTAGCTACCACCTCCCTCTCCTCTTCTAACTGCCCACCCTTCTGGTCCTCCACCTCTACTCCCGCTAAACTGTCCCCGCCACCGCCGCCCGGCCCCTCTGTCGTCTGGCTCTCTCCCTCCTGGGGAGACCCCATGCTCTGGGTGCTCTCACTCACTTTGAGGCTCTTGGGCTGCTGGCGGACCTCCACGGCGTGTTTCTGACGCAGCTCCTGCTCACGCCTCTTGTTATACTCCATCTGGTTGGTGAGCTCCGTCTGGTGCTGCGTGCGGATCAGCTCGGCCCGCGTATGTTGCACCAAACCCAGCTGGCGGAACTCCAGCTCCTGGGTGGACTCGTGGTGACGCAGGAGCATGGCACACTCCAAGTCCTTTAGAGTTTGCTTCTTGTTCAGTTCCTAGAGAAGAAAAGAAGATGATACAGAGGCAGGAGAGGACACTTATCACAGAACAACAAATGTATGAGGTTTTCCTACTCACAGATTATGTTTAAGTCATTTAAAGAATATTTATTTATTTGTAGTATATTTCTAATAAAAAATGTATTTTTTATTGTTTTGGCTATTCCCCAAATCCCATAATTAGTATATTAAAGTATGCAATGTATATTATTGATCTATGGGAAACACTGAAAACCCATTCCACGTGTCCTTTAAAGTTTTATTCAAAAGTCAAATAAGAACATGCTGTGACAACTTACTGTGTCAGAAAAGCCCAATAACAGGTATATCTTCTTTTTAAATTTAATACCTTCAGATTTAAAGATGGTACCTCTCGGAGCAGATCCTGCTCCAGGTTGTGGCGTGCCAGCAGCATCTTCCTCTTGTACTGGCGACACTGTAGCTCATAATACTGCCTCTGCCGTCGCAGCAGGCCCGCCTCTTCCTCTGCCTGCAGCTGCTGCAGACACTCCTTCTGATGCACCAACCACTCTTGTTTCTCCCGCTTTGGTGTTGACTGGTTCTCATTCAGTTCCTTCAGTTACAAATTAGAAGCAATGAACAGAAAGTACAGTAGTATTAGCTGAAGAGCCGTGATATCAAGCTGAAGCATAACGGCTGTTTGTATGGTGGTAGTATGATGCAGGGTAAAACATAGAAGCACCTCTTTGAGCTGCTCCTTGCGTTGTCGATACTGACGTTTCTGGGACTCCAGCAGACTGGTCAATTCCTTCTTTTGCTGGGCCAGTATGTGCTGCTGGAACTTCTTCTCCTCTGTCAGGACTGCCTTTGTCTGAAAAAAACAACAAAAAACAAACAAACAGCAACAACAGTTCATTAATATCAGGATTGTGAAGAGCACACAAAAGGCACATTTACTTTGTTCATCTTCCACCAGCTCACCTCCTTCTCTAAGATAACCTGGTGCTTTTTGGAGAGTTTCTCTCCCTCCATTGAGAAGCTGTTCCTCTGATTCTCCAGCTCTTTGTCCAGTCTCAGCTGGTGCTCATCCATCTCTGCCTTCAGCTTGTTCTCCAGGCCCATCAGCTGCTTCTGGTGCTGCCGCCGCATTCGCTTGTACCTGTGAGGGGACACGGGGCATGAAAATATCAAGAATGAAGAAGGTAAGCTCTTGAGAGAGATTAACACACCACAACTGACTTTTATTTCTAATAAGGTTTTCACTGAAGTTCAAATGTTGGGAGTGTCATTTTACAGCAATATATAGAAAGTAGAACCAGCCCTGATTCAGCCCTCCCCTTACCCAGACATCTGCTCTCTCAGGGCCGAGCCCTGCTCATGTTCCTGGATCTGACGGGTGACGAGCGAGGCTGTCCTGATGGTGGCAAAATGGTCTCTGCCTCGACGACGCCTCCCTCCTCCTCCTCCACCCCCTCCTCCTCCTCCTCCTCTTCAAACCTCCTCCTCCTCTTCAAACTTCCTCCTCCTCCTC